GTGAACAGTGATTTTGAAGTTTTAAAAATTGCATATGTATTTAGTACGACTTTTAGAATGTCACAACAGCTAACAAGAATCGAACATTATTCTATTTATTCCATTATTCCAGATTAAAATGTACACAACTTCTAGGATCGTAGAATCGAAGTGAACAGTGATTTTGAAGTTTTAAAATTCCAAATGTATTTACAACTTTTACAATGTCGCAAGAGCTAACAAGAATTAAGCATTATTCTATTTCATGTAACATAAGCGATAGTGCATAAATCATTTGGCACGTATCGAGCACGTATTATTGGAAAATTGAATTTTCGCCAGAGCCATTATACTCGAATCGGACTATATTAACTGCATGCACTCCGGGCTATTTACTATTAATCCATTTCCATTACGAGCAATGAATGTGCACTGTTCCCGGCGTTCTTGGACGCGAAATTCTCCGAACGTATAATAATTAATTATTCGATCGTTGGATAAAATCGGTTTCGATGCGTTTCGGAGTATTACGGACGGAAGATGAAATCATCTTCGAGCTCGAAAAGCGATTTAATTTGAACGATAGCGAATCACCGCCGCGAACAAACGCAAAATGGTTCGACGACTATAGAGGGTGGTGGATAGGGAATACAGGGATACAGGAATACAGGCATTAGTTTCGTTGTTACCGCTTGTGGCAGCTGGTTTCCATCCCCTCGAGAGACTTGATTGTTGACCCACTTTTCTTGGCGCTGCAACGTGCGTGCAGTTGCACCGGAAATGCATCTGTCAACTTACGCTGACCACGAATGCATGCTTCCTGTCTGGATTGTATAACGAACTCGGCGAGATCATCGAAACGTTAAACGTAATTACACTGCCTTTCTGTCTTGCAATTAACCAATTGAAATTGTTAAAACGCGATACCGTAAGTTTTCAACTGACGTATGCAGAGAGTCTCGTTAACTGAATTGCAAATATTTCTCTATGCATAATAACATATGTATCATTAAATTATTATGTTTCATTAATATTTGTTGTATTCATTGGTTCCGTCGAGTAACGTAGAAAATAAACATGTGGAGTTCACTCGGAATATTTCAATAAGAGACATCGTGAATATAGAATAATTATGAACCTTTCGACCTTTAATTTGAATTATTTTGTTTTCACGTTGTTTCGTACCTTCAAAAGCAAATGAGCAAAGTAAAAATTGAAAATGTATACGTGCTTCTACGAGAACGAGAATACTTGCCAGTCATCGAATATATGATTAATAGATAGTTGAACCGTATATAACAAAGCTCGATAGTGCAGGTTTTCAGACCATAATTTGATTAGTAGTATCGTTTAGCGATGGTCCGTCGGCCCAACCATGATCTGGTTGTAATTCCTGATCGTACACGTGGAGCTAATTCAGGCAAATAGTCACGTTTCGTTGGCGGATTTTACTGACAGGTTAACACACCATCGTTTGAATTTCAACTCGATACTGTTTCCTGAAAATTCACTTCCCGGGCGAGCCGCGCGCCGAATTAAATGTACCAATCTATTAATCAAATATTTATGGAGATCCAGCTTATTATACAGGTTTGTTTAAAATTTGCTAATGTACATCCAACGTAAACGAAATGCCTGAACGATACGCGTCGATAAATTAATAATGAACGACGCGTATAATGCAATAATTATAATAAATCCAAGCGCGTATTAAACTTGAAATAACAAAACGGAGTAGTTGGAACGGGAATCAATATGGGGAAATAATAATTTACACAGTGAACTCTTTAAGCTCCTTTTCATTCATTCAATTTAAATTGGAATATAATTTGTAATTACCGAAGAATGAAAAATCGTAAGGTTAAGTAGCGTATGATTATTTTTATTGATATTCAACGATAAGAAACGTTATTAAATTTTAGTAGCATCGAGTATTATAATTTATCGCCCGTTCAGGGGCGGAGAATTCTGGGAAAATTGTTCCCGTTATATTTAAATATTGGCGGGTTAAGGGTAGGCTTTATTAGCCCCCGATGATCGTCTGCACCCTCGTAGAATTTCAAACACAACACGCGTTTCAATTCCCCGCATATTACAGGGCGGTTAACGCTCCCTCACGATCGAAAGGGAAAACATTTCCGCGGAATTTCGCCCCTCGAGGGGCGTAGTAACGCGTTCGTGAAATCAGTAGAGGGTGGTATATCATCGATTCGAGGGGTAGAGGATTGTGTATGAACGAGGGAACGGATTACGGTTTTTACGAGGCACGAAAACGCGATAAGTTGTCTCGCGGCAGAAAAATCGGAGAATGTTCGATTCTCTATATCGGGAACTGAATTGTTTACACGAACGTTCCACGCGCGGGGTCGTTCACACTTGAATTATTTTCTCGATTCATAGACAGTAGAGAAGGATTTAATAGAAATATTATAAACAGTTATTTGGAACGATTATCAATTGCTCAAATTTAAATAAATGTTTTGCTCAGAAGTTTTTGGACGATGAAACCTAAAGCTATTTCATTTCGTTATATTATATGTATAATATTTCTAAATATTATAAACAGTTATTTATAACGATTATCAGTTGCTCAAATTTAAATAAATATTCTGCTCAGGAATTTTTGGACGATGAAACCAAAAGCTATTTAATTTCGTTATAATATATATGTATAATATTTCGAAATATTATAAACAGTTATTTATAACGATTATCAGTTGCTCAAATTTAAATAAATATTCTGCTCAGAAGTTTTTGGACGATGAAACAAAGAGCTATTTAATTTCGTTATATTATATATATATAATATTTCGAAATATTATAAACAGTTATTTATAACTAGACTGCGGATGTTTATGCATTTATGGGAAATTTTAATCCTCAAAAAACTACAGAATGCATTTAATATGCAAAAATATAAGAAATACTTAAAGTAAGATACGAATTATTATATTTAGGGGTTGAGCGTTTCATTAATTCTATTAATAAAAATGTGAATTTGCATAAAGATCCGCAGTCTACTTATAACGATTATCAGTTGCTAAAATTTAAATAGATATTGTGCTCAGAAGTTTTTGGACGATGAAACGAAGAACTATTTAATTTCGTTAACTGTTAATTGTATTTACCCTCGTTGAATATTACTGAAAATATATTAAATTTCTATGAAATTTGAAACTGGTTAAAATCGACCGATGAGTGTTAATCCTTTTTAATTTGCGTATTGGAGGGTGAGATCTGGAAGGTATGTAAATTCCAGCAGAATCGTTCCCGGCGTTCTGGCCACGCGTACGTCCAACAATAAAGCATATCTCTCAAAAGCGTCGTTTATTGCTTGACAGGCCATTTTCTTTCACGTACACGCGACCAACACATCCCCTTGCTCGTACCTGGCGCAGTCTCGTATCTATGCGAGATAAAAGAGTGCTTCTGGCCTACGAAAATCGATTTTCGTCCTCGATATCAGGAATTTTTATTAAATTGAAATATGGCCTCCTCTTTTTTTTCGCTTTTATCGAGGATCCAATAGGCCCGGGCTCGATATGCACGGTCATCGCGTTACACGAAAGGGCAGGAAAACTCGAAACAATTAAAGTTAATTACATACAATATAAAATACAGTTAACACTTATCAGTTGTTTGCAATATCAAAAATACGTAAAAAAATTATACGTTAAAGGGCCTACCAGAAGTTGAGTAATAATTCCTATGTTTCCTATTAATTAAATATCAATTTTAAAAAACTTGACTCATTTTGAAGACACTCAAAGGTCCAACTTTGATATGAAATGATGAACCAACGTTATGTTCAAAATCAAAGGAATCAATTTATATGGATAGTTGCTTCGTTCTAGCGAATAATTGCATATTATCAGAATAACTACACACCATTAGGTCGTATATAAGGACGATCGTAACAGATTCTAGGATTAGGGAATTGGGTTTCTCTAATTAGAGTGCTTTGATGCGAACCCCTTACATCATGTCTGTTAAATGATTCAGGTGTTCCAGAGACATATGCAACGCGTTGGATACAGTCAATCATACTATATTATATTACATACTTTTTATCATTAAAATACCGAAGACACTGAAAATTCTTTTATAATCGTTTAAAATTCCATTTTCAATCATTTTTTTCAGAAAACAAAGCTCTGTTAATAAGTTTCTTATTTTACAAGCTGGTCGGAGTATAAATACATTTTATAGGAATTTGCGGATAAATCGATGACAAAAATGACCGGATGTCTCACTGTAGTATTCGAGAGTTAAACCTGTCGCATTAATTGATTAAATCTGTCGTACGTACATTTTATGTATGCCTCCCACATTAGCATACGCCATAAATACATAATAAAGACTTAGTTTCGACGAATAACGATCACACTTGCACGGAAATCAGTGTTGGACGCAATTACTCGGTGTTTGTATATTTAACCATTTCCGCTGGAAATTGATCAGTTATTATCCAGTCCGTATAATTTCACAGTGGACACTCGAAAATACACGTTTCTATTATAACGGTACAAAACTGCACAAACACCTACAAATTATATTACCTTTCTCTTAAATCTCACCCGACTTCTTGTTGTTTAGATACTGTCGTTTTAAATCTAATGCAAATTAAATTCCACTCCCTAGAAAATAAAAATTTTACTCGATGACCAGATTACCAATTTACCGCCCTGAAAACAAGATTATGTCAAAAACGAACAGCTTCAAGCACATAATATCCATTAAAAATAAAAATCCTTCAAACAAGTCACGTGCAATAAATTTCAATTATTAATTATTAATTGTAAAATATTCGTCTTTGTCGTTAAAAATAATTTATGCTCCCAGAGACATAATTACACGATATCTATGTTCTCATCTTCCTAATTATATTTTTTTAATGGTTCTGAAATTGTAATTCTTTCTGTTCAGGTTTAAGGGACTTTCGACAATTTAGTTCGTCGATAGGTTAAAGCATGGTTCAGTTACTTCATTTTCCTTTTCCCCTTCTTTCTGTTTACGCATAGAAGCATGGAGCACGGTGCTGCCTACGGCGGGCTCTGGTGATTACTGGGCGTGGGAATACAGTGAGTCACGCTAATTACTAAGCTAAAGCGTCCACGGTAATGTGGCGAACGTAGGTAGACTATCGCTATTATCAATCGGTAGATCGTAGTTCCCGTTAATGCATTTCTGACGACGTGGCGGGATCGTTGCGCCCCAGGACCAATATCGCTTTAATTTCTTGGCGAATCGTTTATCGATCCCGCCATTAACTTTCGTATTTCGTGTTTCGTTGTTTCGTTATTTTTCTCGCGCAATCAATTCTTACTCTTTCGTTCTTAAAGTCTGAAACGTTACTAAAACTACATTAAGTTCATTCACAATCATTATTCATTTTATTCACAATTAAGTCCAGAATTTTAACCCCCAAAAGATTTAAAAATTTTTCTCCAAAATTGGTCCCCAGTTAAAGAAAACGTAAGTATATTTAAACGGGAAAGCTTCAAGTAGAAAATGTAAAAGTTGTTTGTGGTATTTTGTATTTAATATGCCAGATTGTGTACAACAAAAGTGTCAATATAGTTGCTTCTACGTAATGTTTGTTGCAGTAGATTATTCGATAACGAAGACGAGTAAACTAAACCGAACGTGTGTGCGAAAATATTTGCCCGTCAGGCTGAAATCACTGAAATTAGAGTGCATCATCGATTAAACTAAACAAATATCGTTTAATAACTAATAATTAATTAATTCCGCTCTCCCGATGAAATCATTTTCACTGATAAACACGATTCGACGTGATCGAATTCAAAGAAAATTTAAATTAATGGCACTTCCGGGCAGCAGATCGACCGGAAATTTTCTGTAAAAGTTGCAACGGTGGAATTTACTATGCACCGGGCTCTTGGTTTCGTGAGAAACGATGCCAAATAATGCAAGAGACAAATGGAAAGTGTCAAAGTTGCATTAGTGCGTTGCTGAAAAATATATGGGGCACCATTTCTTATGGCGCTCCGGGTAATAACTACCGCTCTAAATTTTCCGAGAATCGCATAACTTCGTTCTATGGTGTCGCCGTTGCCACTTGCCGTTATAAATATTTCGTGCAGTGATTTAAGGATTTGAGGGAACCAAGACGCGTAAATAATGTTACGACGGGGGGATTAATTTGTATACTGGTGGGTATTCGTTCTAATCTTACAAATTAGTAACCGTGAAGTACGGGCACACTCTGAGGTAAATCTTGCCTTGTTGGTGTGATTAATCGATCCTCACCGTGGACTGTAAATCCTTGTCGATAAGGATTATACCTAACTCCGGCTCAATTTACCGTACTTCCTTCAGTTTCAGTTTTATGATATAACAGATACCGAGTTAATTACCTGGATTAACAAGTTGTTCCATTCGCGAGCGCAATAATGAATCTTAAACGTAAGAAATTCTCGGAGCAAATAAGTTTTATTAATCCCTTTGACTACCTAAGCTCCTCCTCGAGCAACACAATGCACGACGTAATTACTCCAACGTTTCCCATTTATTAATATACCAAACTCTAAATCAATTATATCGTAGACGGTACAAAAGAATTATTCAAAATGTGTTATTGGAATTTTCAAATTTAATGGAATATCGGTGACTCGATATGAATTTTAATTGGTTTAAGATAGTCTTGAAGTTGTAGTTCTTTGGAATGGGTTAAATTACATTTTATAGACAAAAAAAGTTTGTTTCGGTGTTTTAGAATTTTTATAAAAGGTCGAGTTTCGTTTGAGACGCGGGTAACAAATTGTTTTAACGTATCGAGGGTTCTTTCCCCGGAACGAACGGAATTCATTTGCTTCTCAAACGCATGGAAATTAACGCGTTAGAGTCGTAAATGTTAAGTGACACGAAGAGCTTTATTCATTATCGAGTCACACGATACAGAGACGCGATAGCGCCGAGCGACGAGCATAGTGGAACAATTTAAAGTACAAAGGTTCGCGCGAAATGGAATTCACTCGAAATTCAACAGCGATGCGGGAATCTCGACCACTCGTAATTTATCCCTTTATGTTCAGATTCGCTGTAAATAGTAACGGCGAAAACGCATATTGCCGAGAATACGGCGAGTAATTTATTTAAAATCCAACCCCGGGGAACCGGACGTCCGTCAAAGCGATTTTTGCAAACGTCGTTCGCGATAGGGAAAAATTTTTCAATCCACGTTGCTGCTACTTCGATGGACAAAAACTTCGCGGAGAATGGGAAAGGGAGAAAAGTTATTAGCTAATTTTCTGTGGATATTAAATTTCTTTTATAAAATTTTTTTGGTAACTGTCATTTTTATCAAATAGACGTCGTTTGCACGTTGTAAGCTTTTGGGTTGAATTTTGTTCCTCTGAAAGCTTGGTTTAGAGCTTTGCAGAGGGAAATTACAATTTTTCGATGCAGAGTTAGTATCATGCGGGGTTGATAAAAATTTTAATGATAACATGTTCAAGTGTAGTTTTAAAAATTGTGAAAAGGTATTAGAAATTGTAGGAAACAGGGTCCCCCAAGAAAATGATTTATAGTTGTCGATTCATTATAGAAAAATTGGGGATGTTAGAAAAATAACAGATTATAGAAATTTACAGAATTATTTGGAGTTCAGGAAATTAATTTTTATTAATAACACAAGATTACAAAAATGGCAGATTACGGAAATTTACAGAATTATTTGGAGATTTTTAAATTAATTTTGATTAATAATCCAAGATTACAAAAATGATAGATTACAGAAATTTACAGAATTATTTGAAGATCTGAAAATTAATTTTTATCAATAACCTAAGATTAGAAAAATGACAGATTACAAAAATTTATAGAATTATTTTGAAGATTTAAAAATTAATTTTTATTCATAACCCAAGGACTATTCCATTTCATTCATCAATACATAATTTAATAATTTCGAGTTTCAAACGCAGTAATACAGAAACCACGATTATTCCCCGCGTTCGTAAAGACACTGGACACCTCCAAATTCTCCCGAATTTTTAAATCGTCCCCCCTAAAAATGAAGCTTCCATACCGAAGAAGTACCCGCGAGAAGCGCAGAAAATGGAAAAAACGAGATTGAAGCATCCCTTCCGCGATGCTCTAAGCTATAAGCTCTCTTCATCCAGAGTACACTTTGATCTTCGTCTGCAATGTTTCTCTTCGTACAAAGGGAAGGAAGAGCGTCGCGCGTAACCGCGTTTTTCGCGAACGCGATAATAGCTTGCGCAAACGTCGTTCGCGGGGACGAGAAAAGGGTAGAAAAAAAAAAGGAAGGAAAAGTAAAAGAAAAACAACGAAAACGGAGTACGTTTGCGAGGGATCTCGTGGAAATAGTTGAAAACGCAGCTTTGGTAGTCGGGTCGGGGGGCGCGTGGGAGGGCGTAGAAGCGGGGTTAAAGTTCCTCCGCGGCTGCTACGAACGTAATATTCTCTACGGTCGGGATTTATGCCGCAGTGGCGGCGCAACGGAGTGGGAGAAATTGCGGCGATGGGTGGCGGCTGGATGGTTCACTCGACTACGCCAGGATGGTTGCTCGTAGATTATAAAACAGTCGTTTTGTTGCGTTGTTAGCAGATGTCTGACACCGGTCACGGCTCAACGCACGGTGTCTTGAAGGGTGGAGGCGCGTGGGGGAGACGCTAATTAAATTTTTCACGCGAAAATTCGCGGGGTCGTCCAGCCGGGGTTGGCTTTCGGACGACTCGATGAAAAATCGACGAAAACGCGGCGTTGTTTCTGCGAGTTTACGCGGCAACGCGTGAGCTCTGCCTCTCGTACGCGGGGAACCACGCCGAGATGTTAACTGCAGATAATTAGAATCGCTCTCTTATGCAAATGCGCGATTTTTATGGAAATTAAGAGGGACTTTCCGTTCCTTAAAGTCGGATTATTCTCGCCCGGGGATTTCCGCGGGCTTCCCCCTCCCCCGGAACGGGGAAGAATCGTAGCGTTTGCATTGCATTATGCAACGACTGGTTATTTGTAGCGAATAATGCTCGCGAAACGACGCAAATCATGGCGGGAATATAGGGATCGTTTCGTAAGAAATTATGGGGTCTTTCGTTTCTGTTTTGGGCATTTCTGGCATCGTGACGGGAAAATGTCTCGAATAAAAGTTGATGAACGTCTAATTTGCTATAAATTTGAGTCTTAAGAATTTTTTAGTACGATGCACCGTTCTCGAGATAATTGAGGTTGAAGGTTTGTCTGGCGCCGTCTGACCAATGCTCGATATTTCTACTTGCACTGAGTTTTTAAATGTAGATTTTCGGGCGGATTTTTTGGGCATTTCCGGTACCGTGAGGGGAAAATGTCTCGAATAAAAGTTGATCAACGTCTAATTTACTATAAATTTGAAGCTTAATAAATTTCTGATACGATGCTCCGTTTTAGAGATACTTGAATTTAAAGGCTTGTCTGACCAATTATCGATGTTTCTACTTACACCGACTTCCAAGTTGAATTCTTGTACAAAAAAATTAATTTTCATATCTTTTACTGATACTAACAGGCCTTAATAACGGTTGTAATTTGTTTGTAATCGTTGTCTATGAAAGATCCAATCTATAGACGTACAAATTCATGAATGGCAGTATTCACGATATTTAAAGAAACATATCGATCCCACGATCCTTTTATTCCACGAACGAGGCCAACAGCATTCATAGATATTGCACTCTAAGTTAGTACGGATTCACTGCCACCTTTTGTCGTCAGTCTAATGCGATTCCAGCGATATTCTTCACCGATACGATGTTTAACGTACAAAATGAGCCATTGAGAACAAATCGGGACGAATCTTTTCAAAAATACAAAAGAACACTTGAGGTAGAAGTTCTTTTATTTCAAAGTCAGCAATATCGAATCTAATCCCTCCTTTTAGTAACTAAATTTCTTTCAAAAATATAAATCACCACCCTCGTGTATAAAAATATCTAATTTCATGATTTTCTGACAAACCACAGTCAAAATATAAAGCAAAACAGAGGTATATCGTGCATGCAAACTTCATAACATTCAAATATTGTTGCCAGTGTAAGTTACTTAATAGTCATATAA